TAATACTGTGTTAATAACTTTTTAACCCTTTGTCAGTTGATTTGTTTTTATACCTGGCTACCCAGGATCACTTATAAGTAATTTCCAGCAGAATTACTATTATGTACTCAGCAGTAGAAAAGAAAATATTCAAAAACTTGGTATCAGCAAAACAAGCCATTAATACTACTGAAACATGTCACAAGATTGATCTTTTTTTATTTCCTCATTTAGAAGTCAGAAGACAGTATGCAAGCTACTTTCCAAACAGATTTCTCCCCCAACTCATCAGAAAATAGTTACCATCTCTTTCAACAATGTAACAGTTTTTAGTTTAAACAAACAAACAAAAAACCCACATTCCCATTTCTTCCACCAATCAAGACTCGAAAGCTGTAAACTCAGTGTGCTGAGAAAGCAGGCTTTTCACTCTCTTGAACAAGGCCAAGTATTTTCTAAAAATGATGTTTTGCTAAAAATAGTAATAGGTAGTCCTGCATCTCAGTTTAAACTCATTATCAAATTGATTTTCACAATGAGTAAAGCACAGTTGTTTCTCCTGTAAACCACCCACCTGGTTTTTTTCACAGTGATGTTGCTACTAAGTTTCTCTAGGCGACATTCTCCAGTGTCATGGTTGATAATTAAGATACATTCCTTTAGGTAAGGCTTCTTTGAGCCCTTGAACACCGTCACTGGTGGAGTTGAGCCCTATTAAATCAAAGTCCAGTAAGTGTTACTCGTGCAGCCTTTTTTTTTCTTGTCTTCTTAGAAACATCAATCCATTACGGTGATGACAAGTTCACTACAAGTGACCATTTCTAGCCTTTAAAAATGTTACCGGCTAATTCACAATATCAATTAGATTCACAGCAGCCATGACCAAAAGCAGCTGGAATGGGATTTCACCCAGCTTAGCTTAGTTTGAAACTGATTAAATGCTTATTTCCCAATGACACCATGCTCACTGTAGGACTCCTTTTACCAAAAGGGGTTTCAGTTACCATATCAGCAGAGCAGTAAGGCATGGCAGGTAGTAAATTTTCCCTTTCCAGTCTTTCCTGCTTTAGAACTGCACTAGAGCAATAAATACCAAGGGGAAACTTGCACTGCCAACATCCACATGAAGCTTTTCTGTGTACGCAACACTTCTGGGTCATCCTACAGCATATTTCCAATGCGGTGAATACACTTAAAGTCACAGTGCAGCTGTTTAACCTTCAGGTCTTTTGAAATTTTAGATCCCTGCTGCAATTGTTTTTCTACTCTAAAAATCACACAAGCAGCTCTGAAACAGCACTGAAACCTCATATCCTTCTCTATTCAGTATGTACCTATCACAACAAAATAAATAGTTCCCTTAGGCCCGCCACTCTTCAGCCACCCCACTCACCTCAATATTTGGCAGTGTTATTGTCACCTGTTCACCTTTGCCAACTTCAAGGTCTCCTTCACAGGACATATCAATAGATGCAGGCTTGAAGTCATCTAAATATAAAAAAAAATGGGATTATTTACAGGCTTTTCAGGAATCTTCTAAATGTAGACAACTTTTAATTGCAGTTGGAGGATATCAAGTTTTTTTGCCAGTGCATCTACCATTTGCATGAGCGGATCATTCCATAAGTCAGTAGAATTCAAAGTCAAGATGATTTTCTCAAGATTCAGTATAGGTGTTAAAACCTTTCGGTTAAAATTAGAAAAATGGTTTCAGGTTTCAAAGGATAAAGAGGCTGAACAAGCTGCATTATATTTCAAAAGACAAATCCTCACATAATTACTTTCAGAAAGATCAATAAATAGTTCTTGAAAATGTTGATCCCAAACACCAGAGATGTAGACAAGCGACCGAAAATGCAAAGAACAACATCAATCCTCAATATCCATTTCTCTATCCATTTCTGATTTTGCTGCAACATGCATATCAAAAGCTGACCAAAACTTGAGTTTCAGTGTATTTATTTTTGTCAAAAGTGAAATTACTTCCCAATTAAATACTGATTTCCTTTTTGTCTCTTTCAACATCTAAAGTATCGATTAAAAGAAGTTTTAAACAAAAGACGACACCAATTTCTGGCCCTTTTCAAAAATCCGAGACATTAAACATGAGCATGTGTTCAGGCATCAGCACCGCAGCTATGTAACATATCTATGAAATATTATTTGACGAATTCCCAAACGAATTGGGAAGGGCTACAGCAAAAAGGCCTGCCTGTGCAGATCTAGGGAGATAGGAGGGCATCAGGAGGCTCTGCAAGGCACGTGGTAACAGCTGTGGGTTTGAACCCGTGGTTCCAGCAAATGCAGGGCCAGCCTTGCACCCCGGGGAGCGGCATGGAGGGACGGGTGCGTAAAGGGGACCCACTGGACAGCACGCGCACCTCACCCCGCAGCCTGTCACGTCACCCGCGCTGGTCGCAGGCGGCAGCACTCTGTTACAGCTGGGGAGCTTCCAAGCTCAGCAACACAACCCGCAGGCCAGGCAGCACAGACCACAGCTGGGAACCCTGGCTCCAGCTCGCACACCAGCCGGGCAAGAAAACCAAGCATCGAGAGCTGGTGGGCAGGACTATGCACGCAGCAGAAGGCTTTGAGCTAAGATACAGCTAACAGCCCCTGCTAACCTTGTTCACGGCAAAAATCCACACGTCGTCTTACAGGAATAAGTGTAAAACAGTACCAAAGTTTCTCACTGAATTGAAGAATGTTTGCTTTAACATACAGCCGCGGGGTGGTTAATACTTAAAAAAATTAAGATACTGATTCCAATGTCCATAAACGGACTTCTGATCTTAACTTTTAACCAGTAGATGTCTTCCCCTTTACTCATTTGTTAACAAAAACTTCAGGTGTCAGAGAAGGATATTTTTGCACGTGCATTTGACAGAACTAATGAACGTGCCAGTTTCTATGCCTCACTTGTTGGAAAGGAAGAAAGATTTCAAAACACATTTCAAAATAAATCATCCAGAATAAATCATCAAACTGCAGGAGTCAGCAAAAAATCATAAGGGTAGGAGGTACCAGATGTGGTTTTCAGTCCTCTTCAAAATTAGGGTAAATTTCAAGTTACAGCATTTGTTCAAATCGATTTATAGCTTTCGCCCGCTCCCCCCTCCCTCACAGTTGCAGACAATCCTTCTAAGTGCCGTTCCATTTGCTCACAGAAAAGCACATTACCCATCTCGCTGCACTGTGTGAAAGCATACGGGACGTTCTCCAGAGAACGTACGTGAGACTGAATCTTGGGGATCAGTCTATAAATAATGAGACATCAAAACCAGAAGCAGCAGTCCTAAATTACCAGAACTATAATCCTGAGAGCATTTGTCTCCTAGCTACCCTCAGAACCTTTGAGCACACACCTCTCTAGATAGTAATTATGTACCCAGGGAGGGTATAGTAGCTTTGTGATTAATACTGCTTTTAACCTTTGATTGCCGAATTGGATGTAACTTTTAAAAACTAAGAACAAGGAAGGAGGGAAAAGCCAGAGGGAATTACCAGAACTATAATCCTGAGAGCATTTGTCTCCTAGCTACCCTCAGAACCTTTGAGCACACACCTCTCTAGATAGTAATTATGTACCCAGGGAGGGTATAGTAGCTTTGTGATTAATACTGCTTTTAACCTTTGATTGCCGAATTGGATGTAACTTTTAAAAACTAAGAACAAGGAAGGAGGGAAAAGCCAGAGGGTCAGCCTAGCTCGGTTTTCAGAGGCTTGCACCGAGACACATGGATGCAGAAGACGTAAAAAGTGAAGCCAGCACCAAGAAAGCGGCAAGGGAAAACACCGA